TTCTCATCACACTAATATTTGTGTTGGACGCATGAGCGGTGTCGATTGCATCGTTTCGAACAACTAAATTAGTCGTAAACGGCGGGCAATCGCGTGGTCGGGATACAATTAGGCCGACGGTACGCAATGACAAATCATGTTCGCGTCTACCGATCTTGCTCGAACAGGTTTCCCATGGACGGACTCCATCCACATTGGTCTGATTTATCGCCGCGTTCCGGATTCCGTGAAATTATCGAGACGCGCATAAAATGTGGTCACAGATGTCCGCTGCGGCGCTCGGTACATTAATTCACCGTGGAAGATAGCGAAAAATCGAGTTGACCGCGCGAACCGTGCAAATTAATTATACAGAGAAATTTGCGAGTATGATTCTTTGCGCTGTGTTTTGCGACAAATACGATTTCTGATAGTGATATCGTGAAAATAAAGTCTTACGAATTGCATAATGTTCTAAGCAAGAACACGATATGACACTTATTTGAACATGTTTTGAATATCTATTAAGATTAACAGTTTCATCGCAATTATATTTTTGTATGAAATTAGAAAACGCACTGGAGGATTGGATGGTGAGAAAATTATAGTACATAGAATTCTGAATACGACAGTTCTATCCATAACGAATAAGTAATTTGGGCGTACGATTAACATGATTATACAGCAATTTATGAAATTTTGTGAGATCGCTTTCTACTCAAATAATATCTTTTGATTTATAACGTGGTCGTCGAAGTACGCACAATTAATTTTCGATTAAATTCGAATTTGTGTCGCGGGTAATTATAACGACTGTCTGGCTTATTTCGAAGTCTCCGTTTTCATAAAAGAGTCTCGTGTATTTTTTGCGTAGAAGCATTTAAGAAGTATTACTTTCGCTACAACAGCAGGAGGTATGTTACATGATGCAAAGGAGGAAGGAAACACAAAAAGAAGAAAAAATATGATAAGTCATCAAAGTTATAGTATTCAAAGTAGTAGAAGTTATTTCTCATTAATCCTTCGATTCCAAGGATCTCAGAAGCGAACTGATCATTCTTGAATCAACCTAAGTAGTTATGCAATTATAAAGCCCAATGATTCCTGGTAATCTTCTTTTCCTTCCTAGTGGCGAAACTTGATGTTTCAGGTTACTTAACTGAGCTACACGTATTTTCCTTTTTGCGAGCCGATCGATATAGGTGTGAAATTCATATTCATCAGGGAATTATGTTAAATACAGTTTTCACAGTCTGTTGAAAGTCTTATACCAATTTGATAATAATACAGTAATAATTAGTCATTCCCATTTGACCTCAATACTATCAGGTATTGTATTCAAAAAATGATTATTAATGATGCTGCCAGTTTCAAGTCGTGAGAAAGTTTTCCAGAAGGGAAAGTTAGACGTCTACAAGTTGCATTAACTCGATTTGTAATCAGGTAGCATTATTGCAGATAGTTACTTCCTTTTTGCGAAGATTAATCGAAGAATCGCATGTGTACGGACACGAACAACCTTGTAGGCGTGTAGATCTCTTCTTCGCGGTCATTAGGGATTATTATTATCAGTGACAGTAACGTTATACTTGCACGAAACTAAATCTGTTCTGCTTAACATATCTACTTATAAATATTTTATGCTTCCCCTAACGTTTAAATTATTATACTTTCTCTTACCAATCTAATATTCTAAAAATAATTTTTCATAAATAATACTTCATGATTAGAAATTTCATAGTATGTTTACTTGCCAATTTTAACCGACCAATTATTATTGAATCCAGATTCATCGGATTCTCTGTAATCGCAAAACAACTTTAACGCAACGCGACATGCGGAAGACGCATCGGAATTTAATTGGATGCGAATGCGGTAACTGTCTCGCGAGGTGCGATTTATTTTTCACATCAGCTGGGAGATTAATTGATCGGTACGAGTCAAGAGAAGAATTGCCTTGTCGCTCGAAGATAAAGTCGGCGCGCGCGCGCGTTTTCTCGGTTACGCTCGCTGGTCAAACACAAAGGGAACAGACGTCGACGCCCCAAAGTCACGTCGCCGTCATCGCCGTGGTCCGGGGCCAACGAGATCGCGTGGGAGTGTGAGGAATTGTTAGATGAACTGGAGAATTGCTCACACCCACGATCTGGAAAACGGTCGCCGTTGTAAATTGGCGGGACGAGAAACCCGCGGACCGTGCAAGCTTCAAATTGAATTCCCATTACTCTTATGACTCACTCTCGCGTTCCAAATGCGAAACCAATACGTAATATATGTACGTGATAAGACGTGGATTAGCAATGAATAAAGTGTCTTGGTACAATTTGGAGGAACGCTTTTGGCGCCTACGTTCTGCAACCCAGTTTACGTGTAAGTCGGCACAGACTCATTTACCATTTGAGCGATATATTTTTAAAGAAATAATTTTGTGATAAAAGTTCTTCATGATGGCTCGTAAATGGTAATTTTATGTAGATTATGTATTTATGCATCTAAAGTTCACTTGTTAACGTTGAATAAACATTAAATTAAGCGTATACAGACTTCATGTAATTAATGACATTTTCTTTATTTGCTTTTTAAATTTAGAAACGTCATTAGCATGTTTCTATTTATTGTCTATTAGAAATTGGGTAATAATATTGAAAATAATTTTGTGACTAATAACAAACATAAATATGATAATTATTTCCAAAAATATACTTTTGTTATCAATATTTATTTATCCAGTATTCAGTTCGATTTAACAATTCATAATTTCTCCTGAACAACATATCTTCTCTCATTTTAGTTATACGTACTACCAGACTTTAACTTTTCCTTCAGAACAATGCTCGTTCGACCCTTTATTCCTTGTTCATTGTGACAGATAGGGACACTGGCGTCATCGATGTGTTATATCGAAGTGCACACGGATTTATTGCCGTCCGAGAAATCGCAGGATCGCCGCGTAGCTGTCGTTCTATGTCGATCGTCGCGCGTGTAGACGCATTTTGCATACCGTTGCCCACGCATATGAGTCAATCGGCTCACGATGACGCCAGCATATGGCCCTTGGAGACATGTCGTTTGAGTCATGTCCCCGTTTATTGATATATTTCGATAAGCCGCACACGTTCACAGCTAATTGGTAATTAATCATGCTTAGCAGTAAATTATAGTAGGCTGCTTTGAATATCTGTATATGTATACTTACATATTACATACGTATGTGTGTGTTTTACATCTCCTGATAGTTTTTTAATTTTCAAAGCTATTTCTCAAGTTCTGCAGAAACACTTTTTATAAGCATTTGAAAAATTTACTTCCGTATCCTTGATTAGGAGACGTGCTTCACGGTTTCTTCCTCAGACAAGGAAGTATAAAGCTAATTTTTCATTTGTCACTTTATTTTTACTATACACGTGATACGTGGCGCGGTGGACAGGATTGTATTCTGTTTTCTTATTTGCAAAAGACATGACAAATTAGTTTCCATGTACTATGTATTCCATGCACTGTCAAAGTTCTCAGGCTTCATCTGAGCTCGAAATTCACTTCAATTTGACTGCTTAAGCTGAAAAGTTAATTTGCGAAATAATTCTTCCATGTGTTTAAAGATGTCTCATAAATAATTTTAAGTATGTGCATATGAGACCTAAAACGTCAGTCGTAATTCATCGACACTATTTTGTTGAGTACTTCGACTTTGGTTGAAGTAAATTATATTTATAGTAAACTAAATCTCTTTCCATATCTATTTTTGAATATTGCAAATTTATAGTCTGACAATTAAACAATGGAAGTCTAATCATTTTTCCAAGAATCGAGGTTTTACGTGAAATGAAAAAACCTCAGCACCATAGTGTTTTACGTATTTACACGGATTTCTAGAAACCGGGATTTACATATGTACACGTGAGTATTCATTGATAGAAAATGAGTCAGTCCCGTAGTGAATGATTTCAAGGAATGAGCATTCAGCTCAAATTTCATTCAAGCGAGTGCGTCATGCGCGACGTTCTCTCACTATTCTCGGAACTACGCTTGTACGTGTAAAGAGAGTGCCACCCACGCTTGTTGAAATATCGCACCTTTCGAGTCTCATTCATTTTTTTTGCAAAACTTATTCGACATCTTTCAGTGATTCATAATTTTTATCCTTATTCTCTCTTTGTATTAGCTTCACACAATTAACTAAAAGAGTCTTGTTGTTTTACCTGAGGCCTTGTCATTTTAATTTTAAAATATAAATATCAATATTAAAATTCTCATAAAGTAACCCTCACTCTCAGCATCATGATTGTTTAACGCTTAATCATTACAAGAGTTCTTTTTGCAGTTTAATCATACAAGTCCTACAACGCAAACAGTACGAGGAAGAAGAACGATTGGCCAGACGTAAATAGCTTGCACTATGCTTTCATAGTATGTATATACATACGTCTAAGCGCGAATGTCGAGGCTTTTCCTTGGGTTGCGGCCGTGGCTACAAGTCACACCGGGATAAAACAACACGAATCGTACGGGTCGCGCGATAACATCTAATATTCCGTCGCATACATGATCGTGTTCCGACCTTTAACTGTGGTGAACAAGGTCGGGGGCCTCGCAAGCCCGTAAACCATCTTCAACATCCGTGAAAGGATTCCAACACCCACGGTCGCGTCGCGAGCGTAGCGGTCGGGCCACCAGTCGACTCCCACATCGCGGATACAGAGGAGTCAGAGACGAGGATGAGAGTGCGAGGATTACGCGATGTAGGAGACGTTGAAAGGGATTATGTACCACTTACGCGGGTTTTAGACAAGACTTCGAACAGAAATGAATTCTGAATATAGAAAATGAATATTAGTCAATTCATCAGTATCAGTAGTAGTCAATTCAGTATCAGTGTAATTTAGAAGTGAAAATTTCAAACTTTGTATTATCTGTCTGTTCCGTCTGTATTAGAAACTTAAATACTTGGATTATTAAAATGTAAGGGTCAGAGTTTAAAGTAATATAAATTAATCTACTATACGCGTTATTATTCTAGATAGTAACAATTCATTAAACGTTACTCAACATTACAGTCAGCATACAAAGAAACGGTATTACATACAATGTCGACGGAATGTACCTGGGTCTTGTGTTTTGCGGAACAAAGAAATTGAATGCATGTGCTACCATCGCCTTGTATCGCGTTCTCCGATAGAGCAGCGGTGAGAGATTCGGACAAAAACTTCTGGTGCAAGGTTGCGGTTTCAAAAGGGAAAAAAAACAATTGATGAAAAAGTCGCGAAATAATCGAAGCTTCGCTCCAGCAGCGAATTCCGCGTGTAAGCGTACTCGCAGGCGGACGCGATCCGCGTGTTCCTGCTCGCTCGGACAGGAAAGTTCATGCGCCACTAGTTCGCGGACCGCAAACACGATCGTCATCCAAAAAGTCGGATCGCAGGCAGAGGCACTGGCAAAACTAAGCGTTCGACCACAAGACCGAGCGGCTCATACCGTTAAGTGGAACTTTCGGTTATGCCGCACTTCATTACGCCGATGAAATGCCACGAGTTCGAGCGTGAGATGCTCCATAATAGCGAGAAGGAAAGGGAACATTTTTGTGGTAACTTACATTAGAGCGAATGGAGACTCAGACCGTGGAATGAATTTAAGAATACTCAGCCCACAAATTGTTGTTATGGTGAGTCGATTACGTAAATCGAATTCATTTTCGGTGTGAAATTATGAATTTTATAAATTAATGGATAAACTGAATAGCGAATGAATGTGTTTCAACGAATTTGTTACCCATGCACGTTTATAATCTTCGAGCGGAGGTGTTTCTTTTCGAGCTGATAAGACCACCTGTGCGTCAAGGATCCTTTCAGATAAAAATCTTGCGCTCTTCGCGTTCACGTAGCCGGCTCGGTGGCGAGCCCAGGTACCATAGCTAGAGGTAGGTAGTGCTCGCCATCCTCCACAATGGTTATTGTTTCAGCACGGTATGCAAGCGGCGTTGTGTACCCGCCTATTTATGACACATTATGCGAAAGCGCACCCGATAGAGTACGAGTATTGCATTTCGTGCCATTGTGATGGCAACAATGATATACCCTGGCCCATATAGCCTGATACCACTATATAAATCACGATTCGTGCCGCGCATCGATCCCCTTTTGCCTTCCCTTGCTTCGCTTTGGTAGGTGTCGCCCAGAAACGCTTCGCACCCCTTCTTTCTTTTCCTTTTATTTCAAGGTATTATCGATGCGCCCCGATCTGCGTTTCAATTCAATATTTATTTCTGAGAGAAATTTAAATCGGCTTACAAAATAATTTAAAAAAGCCGTTCAAAGAGAGTAAGCAATCTTTTATGTCAATCTGTCAATAGGTTTCGAAAACAAAATGTGCAACGTCTCAACAAAATCATAAAACTTTTATATAAGACTGCTACTTTCAATTAAGTTTATGATGACTTATTACCGAATAGTAAATTGTATTAAAATTACGATCGGAATAAATGAGTATTTCACTCTTGCCTCCCAGAGACGTTTATTCAAAATTACTGCCTACTTCGCTGTTAAAATCCGCGGGGGACAAATCGGAGGAGATTGAAACGGCGCGAATGACAGTGATGTTGTATCGCGGTGGCGTGGCGCCAGAATCACAAAGTCCATTGTACATTAACGTTCATTAAGCGGGGCCTTAAAACGAAAACGAATGTCTCGCCGCGGAATTTCTGCGGCACGAAATATGCAATATTTTCTGCGATGCGGAGGCGTGCGTGTGCTCGCTGCGTTCGGTCGTGATCGGAGTGTGCGAATAGAGAAAGATAGGCGGCAGAAGTCAGAACGAAAATCGGAGAAGGAAAGAGAGGTAGCTACGATGGTTTATCCGTGAGAGCAAAGGAGGAGAGGCTCGGTATGCAAATCGCAGGCCTTAGCTCCGATATAGAGAGCCAAGGTGCGCGCGGTTCGAAGGGACCGCTGCGCTGCTTCCCTCCGCCATTCGCCATATATCCTCGTAATTAAGTCGGTCCCTCTTATTAAGCACCTCGCGTTCCCTAGGTATACGTATAGTGTCGCTGATTAAAGGACACAACCTGCGGCGATTATCATTCCCCTCTTGAGCTTATTAGCGCGCGGAGTTTGGAAGTCTTCCTTTTCTAAATGCTGATTAGTGTGAAAGGTTTACATGTAATAATCGATGATCCTGTAGTCGAACACTTGGAATGCAGAAATCCGTCTGTATCATCGATCAAAGAAAGATTTTTTAATACCTTTGTTGTACTTAAATTTTTGTGCCGCGAAATCAAATTCACCTATTTTATGTTACACGAAATTTATTCTTTATATTTTTCCGAATTAATTATCAATAGATTTGTAACTAACGCGATTGTATTATCTTTACTTACCCTCAGGAACTGTTAATCAACAGAGACAAGAGAAACCAATTAAGAAGTTCTACCTCGCAGAAAGAAACGGAACGAGCCAAGAGAACGAACGAACGTTGGGGAGAAAAGCGGGGAAAAAGATTTCCACGTCGCGGAATATCGTTTGATTTGACGCCAGCTAGTCGGAGCCGTAGCCGATGCAGCTTCTCGACTCCCCTTTCCTATTGGTTACGCCGCGTTTCAGTCGCTCGCGACAGCACGGTCGTGCCGCATTCCAGCCACGCGCCTTGCCTAGAAACACTGGCGTAACTACCCGGTCTTAACGAGGCGATTTGTCAACAGGCGACTACCGTGGAACTTGATAAGAAAACGGCGTTAACCGCGATGACGATTACTTATACCTCAGTGCGGCGGTGATCGGACCCGATTATCACTGCTGGACGTTACACGGTGAATTGATGCCATCCTGGCCACGGTTTCACTGCTAACCGATGGAAAACGGTACTTGCAAAATTTTCTGCGTTTCTTGCGATCCCTCCTCGCCCGAATGAACAGTAGAAGCTTTCTTGTGTAACATTCTATGCGGAGAAAGCTGATACCTATTCAACGATAGTTATTTCAATGGTTTGATTGATGATTTTCACGCGGATTTTGACACGTTCTAATTTCAGTTAAAATAGAGCGATTATGAGTCTGGTCGATGTTAACAAGTATTCCAAATGGAATTAAAC